TGTGTAACTGTAAAATAGGATTAGGCTCGAAGTAGCGAGATAATCAATGGTGTCCAGGAGTTTACAAACTTTCTCCATATTATGAGTCATATGAATATCCAAATGTTATTGTTTCTTCAGGTTTTGCATTAGTGAAATTAATCTTAACTTGGAGATTGTTTATACTATTTGAACGGAAAATGTATGAAAAGCTAGATATTGAACATAAGCAGGGTAGGTTTCATTCAGTCTGCTTATCCTATATTTAATATTTACCTATAATATATATTTTTTATAGACCTTTATCGGAAACTACTTATTTTTGAAATGATGTTAAAGTTAGATGCATTCTTGGTTGTCATAAACGGTTCATTAACAGCCGCAATAATCCCTTTTCTCGGTCAACAATCGATGATGTTTATAATCGCTTATGCGATTCATGCTTCAATCATATTGTTTTCATTTCTTGCGCTGATTCTCGTTTTTAATTCGGTACTTTTTTTACTTATATCAACTTGTTACTTGTATAAAAAAGGTGGCATCAACTATATAAATTCTTTTTCTTTCAGTTTATTCGACAATGGAAAATTGGAATGTACATATTTCTTGTGTTCTGGGTATTCTTTACTGCTGATTTTACTTTTTTGATTAAGGATGGAGTTTCCGCTGCTTCTAGTGGATGGTATTTTTGGATATCTACAAGTGAGCCCCGAATTGATAAAAATAATTTTTTTTAATAATTTGCATTTATAATTCTGATTATTCATCCCAATTCAGTTTTAGTAACGTTAATTGCTGCTCTTGTAAGTTGACAATTAAATTAATTTACTACTGTATTATTGAATGATACGGTAACTAAATTTTTTTTAAAAAAAATCATAACATAAAAGGTTACATATTATTATGCATGTGTAATACTAGCAAATTTTGGGCATGACTTAAAGCAAATAAGTAAGTTTTTTTTTTAAAAAAAATATAGTGTTATGATTATAGGTGTACTTTACTGACTATTAAAATTTTAAGTTGATAATAAACGTCAAAGTAAAGAATTTCGATAATTTTTGGAGGCTGTTTCAAAATAATATTCTAGTTTATTAAAATTTATAAATGACTTCTTCATCTTAAAATTATCTTTATTTGTCTCTGATTGTATACTGTTGAAATAATTTTTAACGTGTAAGAATTATTATGTTTGAATAATTTAAGTTGAATATTATTTTTAATTAGTGAATAGCATAACATAAGGAATAATAATTTTAAATTGAAAATTTGGATAACTGATATCTTCATGCCATTGCAAATGAGATTATATGATTAAATATTAAAAGTTTTAGTGATACATAAAGTATTGTTAAAATATAAATATAACATGCTAAAAATTTAGATAGACGCTCTCTAACATACTGTACTGCACAGTTTTAGTAGGTATGATATAAGTTAGGCAATGAGATCATTTGTTTGTCGTATGGAGATACCATCTGCATTTTAATAGCTAGGTATGCAGGTTATTACAACTGAGAGAGAGACTTATGACGGTTTTACAATGGAGGTTACGAGGGTGTGTTTAAGAAATTTATCTTTATCTACTTTTATCAATAACCTAAGTCGGGCCAACTTTGTCAGCAAAATTTGTTTATACCGTTATATTCATAAGTATAATTCTGGCGTATGCTTATTTGCACGGTTTTAACGGTGGTCAGTTAATTTTTATTAACCTGATTGGCTGAGTTCATACAACTCAATTTCGAGAATTTTGAGAACCTTTGGAATGGCCATTAATATATAGTTATTTGTCAGTCTGATCATAGTAAGATGTCGGATAATTCAAAATTATGTAATGTGGCTCAAATTATGAAACTTAATTCTTATGCGGTCAAATCCAAAATTTTTACGTTATCCAAAAAAATCGGCTGTACGTAATAAAGTTAACCGGATTACTCGGGTCATTTGAGATAACCGGGTTGTAACCCGGTTTTGGAGTTTGTAATGCGGACCGGCTATCTGGAGAAGAAATTTTATACGGACTTAATCTCTACTTTAGACATTCACTAACGCTAATTAATATCAAATATGATATATAATAGATTCTAGCTATTAGACTAGTAAGAATTTATTTAAAAATTGCGTATAAAAAATTTATTAAAATGCTTTATATATTGCTATAAAATGTAAAGGATTGATATTGATATTAATGGAAAATCAAAACTTTTAACATATCAGTGAGAATGCTACATAAACAGCATGTATGATTCTTTATACCATTCTATTCTATTTGATCTAACTTTAAGGTTGCTGTTTTCTGCTATATTTTTTTGGTTCAAAATTATGAGAATTAACCATATACGTATCCGGTATTTCTAGTTCACGTAATTTATTATTTATAAAAAGATTATCAAACAATACTATAGTTTACAATGTTTTTATTAAATAAATTAAGCTTTTAATTACCTTGATATTTATAGCACTGTTAAATGAAATAAATTTACTTTTATAATGTTGCTCAATATCTATTTGAATACCTTGATTTTTTATATTTTGGAGTTTTTTGAACAGATTCAGATAATTCAGATAAAATACTTTCACTATTTTGCCATTCTACAAATTTCTTTAACGGTTGGCCGTTTTTTTTTTTTTTTTTGGATCCATGTTCCAGCATTTCTTCATTAAATCTGTATAACATGTTTCTGTATTTTTCATAAATATGTAGTCGCAAACCATTACACACTTGTAATTAGTATTGGAATTCTGATTTTTGCTCAATAGGAATAGGTTTACCATATAAAATTTCCCACATGATTATACCAAATGAATAAATATCAGATCCTTTAGTATATGATATTTCAAAATTTTAGGGGTAGTATATTATAAAATTCCATAAATCCTATTATGTTTGTTTCTAATGCAATATTAGCTGTTCTTAATAGGGATGGCAAATGTTTTAAAACACGATCTTAAAAATCATGTTTGTTTGATTTAAATCTGTTAAAAAATGGTTTAATACATTATGATGTTATTACGATTCGACAGCGTAATTTAAATGTATTATGATTACAAAATTCAAAAAAAAAGAAATTTTTCAAACCGATGTCTCATATTCGTGAAAGATCCTCGTCAAAAGAAGTCCGTTTAAACCTTACAAAAGTTGCTGAATCTGATAAACACGATCGAACAACATCTCGCCAAAAAATATAATTATTGCGAAGAAGACTGTGTTGATTTAGTTGAAAGGTTATTCATTAAAATGTAAAAAAACTTCCAAGAAATATATAAGATTTATTATAAACTCAAAAAACAGGATTATGGTCTTCAAATAATTCATTCGAAAAACTTATCACATAGTGGCAATATTGTAAACCTTGGACTCCAATGCCAACAAAATGTAAAACTAATATAGAATGAAAGGTTGTATTGGCCGACAAGCAAATTTCGTATTTAAAAAAAAAAAATAGCGATTGATAGCTTTGATAAAAATTAAAGCGAACAAATATATTCATTTTGTTATTTTTTACGTAATATTTGATAAATTCGAATTATATAGCAACGTCTTTTTTCAAAAAAAAATTTCTCGGCTGGAAATTAAAATTAATTAATCAAAAGCAATATTTTCAGTTTCAGCAAAATTTTATCTCAGACTTTGATGTTTTAAAAAAGTTTAAAACAATAAAAAAAAACGTTTAAAGAACTGTTTAAACCGGTTTTTCACCATCCTAGTTCTTAAGCATCAACCTAGATGCGAATTCATAATGATCAAAATAGTGCACAAGTATTATGACGTAATTTTAGTTATTGTCATAACATTTGAATAAAAGTCAATAATACGAATGACGATATTATTGAGATATGCTCAAACATTATATTATACTATCGTGATATTCTAACAATTGTAGTGATACTCAATTGCAACAATAGATCAAAATAAAGATCTCAATCACTGCTTGAAAGGATTTTAAATACTTTATCGAAAATTTTACAAAAAATGTGTGTTGATAATAATAAAAGTATAAAACACTTGATCAATACTTTATTCACTTTAAAGTTTATAGAGTTTTAATAAGTCAGCGCAAAAAATAAAAAGGTAGTTTGGGCAAAAAGTTTTTTGACTAAAATAGTAAACACACTGTTCATTTTTACTATTTAAAATTTTTCTTTCAATAATAAGCTATCTTATTTATCTTAATGACAAGCTCGATTAATCGATAAAAAATATTTTCCGTTAATCAAAATTTAATTTCCGACACTTTTTTGACCATTAATTGAGGCGCTTGAGAACGCCCTGAAAGTCCTAAATCTGTGATGTATGCGCTTTTTAGACTATTTCGTAGTATATTTCCACTGTGTAGAATAAGGTCATGATGAATTATCTGATGCAGCAAGTTTAATTTATCTTTCCAATCCATTTTTTTGCTATAGAATATAGATTTTTGTGAACACAACCTTTTGAAGCATATTTTATTATATTACAAGTTCTGGTTAGCGTTTTTCCTGATAATTAATAGATATCTGGATCTGAATTTATTCGGATATCTATTTACTATTGATATCTGGATAATTATTGTGGCTGATCATAATGAAATCGGATTAAAATGAAACTGGGGACCTTTCTTGCTCATCTTTAAAGCTTATAAAACCTACTTATACTCTTTTATTAATAAA